TATATATATATATATATACATATATAACTAATTAGCCAGTACTATAAATAAATAAGCAAGGAGACACTAAGAATAAATAAACAAACAAACAAGATAAATAAGTAAATAAATAAATAAATAAATAAATAAATAAATAACTAAATAAACAAGATAAATAAATAAATAAATAGAGACAATAGATAACTAAATAAATAACCAACTAAATAACAAAATAACTAAATAAATAAATAAATAAATAAAATAAATAAATAAATAAATAAATAAATAGATTAATATAATTTAATTAATTGTTGTCTATTAGGTCCAACACCTATCCACCATATAGGTATATTAATAAGGTCCTGTATTCTTTGTATATAATTAATACAATTAATAGGTAATTGTTGTATATTAGTACAATTATTTATATTTTCTTGCCATCCCCTTAATTCCTCATAAATAGGCTCAATATAATTATATTCATAAAAGGAGACAGGTATATCTCCTTGTATAAGGGGACTTTTTGTCCTTTTGTCCCTATACCCTATACATATTTTTATTGGATCTATATTAGTTAATACATCTAATTTAGATAAACATATTGCAGTAAATCCGTTGCATGCATGCGCATGCAACAATAGTGGTATATCTAGCCACCCGCAACGACGGGGTCGGCCTGTTGTAGATCCAAATTCGCCTCCCTGGGATCGGAGACGATCCCCAAGGAGACGATCCTGGAGCAGACGATCCCGATCGATCCCAACAACCCCACAACTATTATTATTATTATTATTATTATTTATATTAATTATATTTATATATTCTTCTTCCTCTCCTCCCCCTAATTCTGTTGGCATTGGTCCCTTACCTACACGAGTACAATATGCCTTAACTACACCTATAATCATTTGTATAGAATGAGGAGAAAGCCCCAAACCTATGCATGCACCACCAGCGCATGCATTAGATGATGTTACATAAGGATAACTACCCATATCTATATCCAACATTACTGCATTAGCTCCCTCTAGTAATATTTTTTCTCCTTTTTTTATTGCATTATTTAATATATTATTATTATTTCTTCTTATCTTATTTATATCTATATCCTTATTATATTTATATTCTTCGTCTTCTTCTTCTTCTTCCTCTTCCTTCTTCTCCCCGCTCCTGCTCCCGCTGCTGCTGCTGCTGCTGCTGCTGCTGCTGCTGTTGGTTAAACTATTAAGGAATACAGTATTAGGGACAATACAAGGGATTAATAGCTGCCTATACACCTGGTGTCTCCTTATTTCTTCTTGTAGATCTACATTAAGGGGACCATACTGTCTCTCCAATTGTTTGGCTAATAAAATATATTTATTAATAAAAGAAGAAAAATAAAATAAATCGCAGACACGGATGCCGTGTCTTGCTGCCTTGCTAGTATAACAAGGGCCTACACCTCTTAATGTAGTACCTAATGAGGATACACCTTTTCTTGCTGTTGTTGCTGCTGTTTTTTTTTCTCCTTCTCCTGCTGCTGCTGCTGCAGCAGCAGCAGCAGCAGCAGCAGCACGATTCTCCTCCTCTATCCTATCTACTGCTATATGTAAATCAAATAGTAAATGACTACGAGAAGAAATATATAAACGAGACAATACTTCGCTGTCTGCATGCAGACACCCTAGTATCTCATCCTGCTGCTGCTGCTGCTGCTGCTGCTGCTGGTTGTCTCCTTTTTGCTGCTGCAGTATCTCCTCTACTGTATTTAATTCCTTTATTAATTGCTTAAGATGTAATACTACACCATTACCTATATATGCCTTAGTATTTTTATTAATAAGACCACTAGGTAATACATGAAAAGTAACTTTTTTATATTTTTTTTCTTTTTTTTCTTGTCTTTTTTCTTTTTTTTCTTCTTTTTCTTTATATAGATTATTATTATTTTTTGTATATAAATTATAATTTAAATTAGCTTTAATTTGATCTAAATTATAATTAATTCTATTATCATTTTTATTATCTTTTTTTTTTTTTTCTTCCTCCTTTTCTTCTCCTTTTTCCTCTTCCTCCTCCTCCTCCTCATTTATTACTATCTGGTGACCAGCATTATGCCCACCATTATAACGACAACAATAAGAAGCCTCTCTTGCTAATACATCAATTAATTTTCCTTTTCCTTCATCTCCCCATTGTGCACCAACTACACATATTACAGATGGAGATTCACCTGTAGGACCTATACGCCAACCCGACATACTTACTGCTGTTCTTCTTGCTGCTGTTGTTGTTTTTGTTGTTGTTCCTGCTGCTGTTGTTGCTCTTGTTGCTGCTGCTGTTTATGTTGTGGGGAGTTTTTTGAGTGGTTACTCGGGTGGTTTATTCTTTATGGTTGTTGTTTGCTGCTTTTGCTGCAGTTGTTGTTGCTGCTGCTGCTGCTGCTGCTGCAGTTGCTGCTGTTGAGGAGGAAGAGGAGGAGAAGACGGCTAGTTGCGGCTGCTGTTGTCTATTTTAAGACACAGCAAAGGATTCTGCT